CCTGTGCGGCTGCGGCGGCCGGAACCGTCCTCCTGCTCGCCCCTCGCGCTGCAGGGTGTGCTTCGCGTAGGGGTCGGCGGTTTGGTCGCTGCAGTTGTTCGGCCGACACCTTCGCGAGCTTGCGCGTGTAGTTATTGCTGTTCCTCGCGATCTTGACGCGAGCCTCGGCGTGAGGATGCGACCTGTCGCAGAGCCTTCTGAGCGAGTCGTCAAACCCGTAGTGGTCGGTGATGATCCTCCACGGCTTCTCGATGCGGACGCCTTTCTTCCTTGTGAGGTCGAACGCGCAGCCGCCGAAGTCTATGACTCGCGGGAGCTGCTCCTTCAGCTGCTTGGCGGTCGAGTTCTTGTTGGGGCCCCATCCGTCGCAGCACCTCCCATTCGAACGAGACGGCGAGCCGGGTGCCGAACTCCTTGCGCAGCCGGGGCATGGCCTGCAGGAGCAGTCCGATCATGAGCTTGGCCTTGGCCCGATCCTTCTTGAGCTGCGGAGTCTTACTCGGATCGATCTCCACGACAAGTCGCTGTAGTGGGGTCCACGGTTGGCAGGGAAATGCAGCGTGGACTCGCGCATTCTTGCCGCTGGCAAGGTTGGACCTGATCCTGCCCTCCAGCTTGTTGACCACGAAACGTTTAGAGAGGTCGTAGCCTGGAAGACCGCACCTGACAGCAGCTCCTCCCTTCTTCCTCCAGGTAGCACTGAGCTGACTGTCCGGTTTGCAGCGCCACTCGTAAAGCACGGTGCTGCTCGCTGTGGAGGTCGAGCTGGATCTGGCGATACATTTCGCCAGGTTGGTGACCGAAGCCTGGCTGATTTGACGCGGCTGGACGCCGCCCTTCCCGGTGACGAAAGCCGGGCGCTTGCCTGCGACAAGCTGCGGTTTCGCCCCCTTCTCGAGCGCCCGCGCGCGCGGCTGCTCTCCTCCTCCGCGATGTTGATCTCGGGCCCGGGACTGGCGTCTGCGATGCCATCGGGCCCTTGGTCGTAGCCCAGAGCCACGGGCGTGCCGAAAACGCATTCCGAGCATAAGCCCCGGCGGCTGCAGACCTCGCGGGTCTTCTCGCCGCAGGCGATGCAGTCCTGCAGCGGCTCGGTCACGCGCGTTGTGGGGGAGGCGGTCTGCGGCAGCGTCGTCAACATGAGGCTCGGAGCTGGCGCCGCGGTGGAGCAGCAAACCAGAGCTGAAGCTACGGCAGACAAAAGCCGTGACCCGTTCGGTCGACGAGGCTGGAGTCGCCTCGGGACGTTCAGCTCCTTTTTCGCGACGAGCTTGCTAACCGCATCGATCAGCATGCCGGTCTTGATCGTGGCGTTGACCGCGGGTTCGTCGCTCACCTTCGGTCGGCTGGCTGGCTTGGCAGGTTGCTCCATGCCGGCGTCCTTGATGGCCCGCCAGTCCTCTGGCTGCAACTTGATCGCGGGGTGGCCCGCGGCGCTCGTCATGAGCTTCAAGGCGGAGGTCCCCGATGCGGATCTGGCCCTACCAGAGAGAGAGAGAGAGAGAGAGAGATGTCGATCTTGGAAGGCTGTATGAAGGCACGGCCAATGAGCAGGCCAAGCGCGGGGCTGTCCACGAGAGCACGAGCGGCGCAGTGACGCGCAGTTTGCTCGGGGGAGCGCCTCCGTTGCCGAACCTGTAGACTTCGTCCTCGGTCTCCTCGAGGATCTGGTCGGCGAGGCCCATCCTGGTGAGGATGTCACGGTAGTTGTCGTGCCACTTCCTGCCCGAAACGCAGACAAGGCGGTGTCCACCACGCCGATGCCTTCGTCCGTGGGCTTCCCGTTGCCGATCGCGACGTTCAAATTGGGCAGGTGGTGAATCTGCCGCTCTGAGACGCAGGCCTCAGGTGGCGGCGACGCCGGTCCCTGCGGATGAAGGGCAATTTCCTCGTCTGCGAACTGGGCCTGCTCTGCGATGCGCGCCTGGCGCCGCGGGCGACCTCCCCAGCCCCCACTTCCACCGCCCTTGGACTTGCCGCCCTTGGGCGCGAACTTGCGAGCACCCGGCGCGGGGCGCTCCGTATGCAGCCCCAGCCCTGCGACATCTTCTCGCGCTGGTCGACCTGGTTCTAGAGCTTGGCCGGGCGGCGAGGCGGCGCGGACTCGTTCGACGCGCAGCGGCCCTTCAGGGCTTCCCGGGCTGACCTGACGGTGGCCATGGCGTCGGGAACGGCGGCAAGCTCCGCCGCGGCGGCCTCGACCTCGGCAGAGTCGTCGCCGTCGACAGCTCGGAGATGTCCACGTTGGAGGATTCGAGCTCGGCGCTGAATGCCTCGAGCTCCTGGTGAACGATGTCTTGCACGTCGGCCTCGTCCTCGTCGTTCTCCTCTTGCTCATCGTCGTCCTCGTCGGCGGGCTCGTCGATGATGTTAGTAGATCGCCCTCCGCGGCTGGAGGAAGCGTCTCGGCGCAAGCCGCCATGGGGGCGCGACTGGTTGCTCCGCGGCCTCGAGGGCGGCGGGGCGCGGCGCTCGGAGTTGTGGATGTCCGGAAACATCCGCACCAGCAGTCCACGGATGCGCTGGTAGCCGCAGTGTTCGTCGGGTAGGTTGCCCGCGACGCGCTAGCGGCGCTCGGCCGTGAATCTGGCCTTTCGCAGCAGGAACCACCCCGCTACGTCGTCCAGCGCGTTGAGCTCCACCTCGTTCTCACGTAGCTGATGTAGACTCGTCTCGAAGCATTATCCATTCCGTCGTTCGTTCACCTCGCCGTCGGCGATGCTGGGTCGATTCGAAAAACTCCCCGCAAGTCTCGCCCTTATGCACGGGCTTCTGATGACCCAAGTTCGCCTCCAAGTGTTGTGATACATGTTTGATGCCGACCTGATTCCGGTGGCGTGTCTTCTCGTCGGCGTCCTCGATGCGTGCTGCAGCTGCCGGGTGCAGCTGCTCCTCCGTCATATTCAACGCTGCGGTTCGAGCTTTCCCGCTGAGCCTGAGCGCAAGCTTCGGGGCGATACTCTGCGTGACTGAGAGGTTCTCGCTGAGCTTCCACAGCTTCACCTACTGCTTGTATTCTCTCCACTTTGAGGGATCTTCGTCCCATGTCGGTATGACTGGCTGTCCGAAATTATGAGACATGTCCGTCATCTCTGCGATCAGTGAGTCGGAGTAAGGGGAATCGAATTCGGCGGCGCCGCTGATGTTTTGGGAGTAAAGGAAATTGAGCTCGGTGGCGTCGCTGATGTTCTGACGGTAGCGGAAATCGAACTTGGCGGCTTCGCTGAAGTTCGGGGAGTATGTGAATTTTGACTCGGAGGCTTCGCTGAAGTTGTGTGGGTACGAGAAATCGAACTTGGCGGAGTGGGTCCTGGCGTCGCTGACGCTGGCGTGAGAGTTTGCGTCGAAGGCGTAGTAGGCGTTGCTGCTGGCGTCGCTGACGCTGGCGTAGGAGTTGGCGTCGAAGGCGTAGTAGGCGTGAGTGCTGGCGTCGCTGACGCTGGCGTAGGAGTTGGCAGGGTAGGCGTAGTAGGCGTTGGTGCTGGCGTCGCTGACGCGGGCGTAGGCGTTGAGCAACAGCGCGTGGAAACCGCTGGGCTTCGATTCCAGTGCGGATAGACGTGTCGCAGACGCCGTCGTTGCAATATGCACGGCCCCGCGGGCCGGGATAGCGAGCCTCGCTCCAAGCTACCACTGCGATATGGAAGACGATCGCTGATAATGTTTTCTCGCACTCTGCGCGGCAGAGATCGTAGCTCAATTAGCCACGGGCCCTATTTTGAGAGAGAACGGTTGCGGCAGAGCGGGCATGAGAGACAGAGCGGAAACGAAGCGGAAGAGGGCGAGTCTTCTGGAATCACACGACGAAGTGAATTTATCCTAGAAGCAAACAGCGGCTCTAAAATTCAGGCTTAACTTGTCGGGCGTCAGTCGCATGCGCGTTCGCCCGTCGGATGCCCGCCGCGTGCTCGTATCGGGCCGGGCGAAAGGGGGGGATTGGGAAAGGGGGGCTTACGAAATTTGCTGCATGCAGCTGGTTTCGGCCTCACCGAGGGGCCCACTCCTCGATACATGGGCGCCTCCCGGCGCCAGGAGGCGCCGGGAAAATCAGCTACGTGAGCTGATTCTCAAACCCCCCCTTTGCTATCCCCCCCTTTCGCCCGACCCGATCGTACACCTGCCGCGCGCCAGCGGCGTGCCCTATCATTTGTCTGGCGCCAGTTGCGTGCTCGGGGGCGCAGAGAGTCAGCCAGCCACCCAACCAGCCACCCATCCTACCATCCAGCCCAAGTCAATCCGCCAGCCAACCAACCAGCAAGCCAACCAACCAATAGCGAATCGCCCGGCCAATCAGGGACGGGGCGCCGGAAGCACAGGGAAACACAACAAATACAATGTCAAGAGACCCCACGCCCGCCTGCCATTCGCAGATGCGCTGAGCGTGGATTCGAGGCACGAACAACCCACGGGTGACATCGGCGGGGCGGCAAAACGCTGTTTGAAAGAATGCCGGGTGCGAGCCATCAGCGGTGCCTGATCACGTGTTGGCGCAATCGTGGCGTCGTAGCAGAAAACAGGCTCTGCATATTCACAGGCCGACACAAACACACAACATTCACCAAAACGGATGTATTTTCGAGGTGCAAAAGCCCAAGTGGATTTCACCCTAAGCCTTCCGCCCTAAGAAAATGCTCGCTAATCGTCCTCCTCTCCCCTTCCCTCGCTCTTCCTCATCATCATCTTTCCCTCCTCCTTGACTTCTCCCCCACATAATCCTCCTTACCCCAGTCCTCCATTACCCTTCATTGCCAATCCTCAGCCATCCTCCCTACCCCCATTTCCCCCCTCGCCTTCCCCTCCCGTCTCCCCTCCGTTCGGCCCCCATCCATCCGCGCCCCCACGTGCCGCCACCGCCCTCCTCCGCCCGTTCCCCCCCTTGTTCCACCCGTTCCTCCTCCTATTTCGCCTGTTCCTCCCCCCTCCCTCCTCCCCCCCCTCCTCCCTCCTTCTTCGGAGGACGACGGGCAAGAGGACAAACAAAACGACGACGCTTCCGCCAGGACGAGTCCCTGTCGCTGGCGCAGCCAGCCCTGGCCTCGGCGGGGCACCGGCTGCAGGCCGCTCTTGCCCTTACTCTTGGAGGAGTGGGTATCGGGTAGGATGGGGTGGAAGAGGACCACTGCAAACCCAATCTTGCCCACGATGTTGGCGTAAACTCTCCCACCTACTTCTCTCCTCCCAGGTTCCTGCGAGGATCTCTGTTCACTGCAGCAACAGCCCCGTTACAAGACAACCGTTTGAAAATCTTCAGCGGGTCGTTTCCAAATTGTGGCTGTCACCTTAGCGCCGCGCGCGTTCGTCAAATAATTATCGCAGGGTTGCACAGATCGAGGGCGGTTCCTTTTCAAAACGTGGCTTTCGCCTTAGCGCCGCGCACCTGCGTCTTGTCAGTTGACAGCAACTTCAAGGATTCCTGAGGTTCACGTCCAAGAAATTGCGTTTTGGAATGATTTAGGATTGTCAGGGGGTGACAATGCCATTGATTCGGGGTGTTGACGTCCCAGGATACATGTTCTGGAACGACTTAGGATTGTCAGGGCGCGACAATCATGTTGATTTGTGGTTCGCGGCGGTGGAGTCCCAGGAATGGTGTCCTCCCTCTGAGATCCCTCCTTACAGGCGCCTACAAGGATTCATTACCACTGAAGAAAATACCCCGTTGGGAGGCAACCGCTTGAAGCTCCGGAAGCATGCCAAAACACAACTTCCAGGACCCCAACGCCACGAATTTATTTGATCATTGCGTTTAGACGGTCCTGAATCGTGCCAGAAGGCCGTGTTTGGGATTTCAACACCGCGAATCAAAGTATTCGTTGCGGCTTGACAATCCTTGACCGGTCCACAACACGATTTCTGGTAAGTTGGCCATTGGAATCAGTGAAATTCTGGCAAATGTTTCGCACGAGAGTGCGCGGCGCTAGGGCGGGAGCCACATGTTGACTCGGGTCCACCCTCAGTCCGCGAACCTCTTTTAGACTTCGACGGACGTGCGCGGCGCTTCGGCGAGAGCAGCAATTTGGAAACGACCCGCCCTCCATCCGTGAAAGTGTTGCAAATTTGCAGCTTCAGGATCAAATATGGTCAGGGAATCTCTGGCGAAACGTCCAGCCCGCCTTACTGACCCGTCTCGGGGCGCGACAGGGAGGATGTGTTTGTAAGGATGCGGGTTGGTGGAGGAGGAAGAGGAGGAGGAGGAGGAGGAGCAGGAGGAGGACCAGTTCAATCCCAAGACTCATCAACGATGTTGGAATAAACCCTCCACCCTAAGCTCCCTCTTCAAAGGCCCCTACAAGGACTCATTTCCACTGAGGGAAGTACCCCGTTGGGAAAGAACCGTTTCAAGATCCATAAGAATGCCAAAACACCCTTGCGGGACCTCAATGCCCCGAATTGATTTGATCCTCGCGTTTTGACGATCCTGAATCGTGCCAGAAGGCCGTTTTCGGGACTCAAAGTGTATGTTTCTCCCTGATTATATTTAATCGTTTTGTAACACCATGTCTGGTACGTTGACAATGGGAATCCGTGAAACTCTGGCCAACGTTTCACACGAATGTGCGCAGCACATCCGAGTGGAGTAATGCCATTGTTTGGATGAAGGACTTGCGCAGAAAGGTTGTTGCGATCACCGCATGTGGTATGAGGATATCCGCGTTTTCGCTCCAACCACTCGCCGAGAAGGAGACCCGAGCCCCGAAGACGCAGAACATGGCAGCGACGAGGTACTTCAGCATCGCCACACCCAGCCGGGGCAGTCTCGCCAGACGAACTACACATGTCGCACATGACACCGCTGGATTCGCAGATGCTCTCCGTCGCACGGGCCTCCAAGAGGCGCTCCAGCTGGCGGTACTGCAAAACTCCTGGCTCAACAGCAGGAGGTCAAAGGCAGGCATAGCGACGCCCCCGCTGAGCACTGTTGAGGTATTGTTCCCAACCACCCTGTGGTGTTGGGTCCTCGTTTTGATGAGATAGCGCCCCGCGTGCCCCCTCCTCCCGTTTCCCCTCCCTGCCTTTGTTCTCTCGCATGCCCATTTCGGCGTACCCCTCACACGTTGCGTGGCCCCATAGGGAGCTCCACCGAAGGCCCTAGTCCTTAGTGGCAGGGTCCGCTTGCAGTTCCAGCTCCATTTCGGCGCACGCCTCACACGTTTCGTGCCCCATAGGGTGCTCCACCGAAGGCCCCAGTGGCAGGGCTCGCATGCAGTTCCACCTCCATTTCGGCGCACGCCTCGAACGTTTCGGGGCCCCATAGGGAGCTCCACCGAAGGCCCCAGTGGCAGGGTCCGCATGCAGTTCCGCCTCCAGTTCGGCGTACCCCTCGCACGTTTCGTGGCCCCATAGGGTGCTCCGCCGAAGGCCCCAGTGGCAGGGTCCGCATGCAGTTCCGCCTTCATTTGGGCGCACACCTTGCACGTTCCGTGGCCCCATAGGGTGCTCAGACGAAGGCCTCGGTGGCAGGGTCCGCATGCAGTTCCACCTCCAGTTCGGCGTACCCCTCGCACGTTTCGTGGCCCCATAGGGTGCTCCGCCGAAGGCCCCAGTGGCAGGGTCCGC